AACTAAAAAGCCTTAGACCTTGATGAATAATAATAAATGGGTGAATGAGTAGAAGACTTAGATGAGGGTATAAAAAATGACAGGCGGCCCCTGGAGAAGGATTCTTCTATCATATCATACTAAGGTTCTTGACAAATGAGAATTATACTAATAGTTTCTCCTCTGGTAGACACATAATAAAGATAAAAGGAACAAAGAGAAAGAAATTAAGATGCTGGCAAGCCAATATCTGAAAGGTGCTTACAAACCGCACTGAAAATTAAAGCTAACCACTCGCCAGAACATTAATTGAAAATATATTACGTATACAAAAGGAACACCATATGCTATTTGATGGATTCAATTTTTCATGTGGTGTGAATGCTTTCAGATTGTCTACAAAGGACCACAGATAAAGTCAAAATTCAAGATGGTTGATGGCAGGCCAGCCAAGTGGGCCGATTCAACTCATTTTTCGAGCTGTTTGACATTTGACAATTCTTAGGCCTCGTCCTCATCACCAGCAATTCAGCAATCAAACTCTTCTAAAAAGTTCAACATTTTGTACTAACACAAAAATTTAACCAGCCTTGTGGGTTATTATGGTCCTCTTTCGCAATCTATTGTGTCATAGCTTTTATATTAGCTGCACCAAAGGTAAAAGCCTTTTCAATAGGACCACTGAATTCAACACACAAAGGAAGTACCAAAAATATGTTATTAGTCTTACCTCTTCCAGGGATTGGTACATAACATAGAGGAAAGACCATAGATGTCTCCCTAATAATTGGAAACATTTAAGATTAAATAGAAGTAGAAAAGTAGACTTGAAGATATGCTATGCCTCGTGGGGTGTACCACTTTTTTCTCGTGATTGTTTCAAACCCCCCATGTTATAAGTCAGCCTTTGCCAAAGTTTGTCCTTCAAATAATGAATAGTTTTGGGATGGAAAAGGAAAAGTTCTTCCCAAGAAGCTAGCTCGCTTGTTCTATTCTTTGTTTATTCCTTTATTTACCGGAAGAAATATATTCCCCACCAAAGCAATCCCCTCTTAAAGCCATCACCAATACTATACCAATGGTTTGATGGAGCTTGAAGTATAAACGTTAAAATAGAAGCTTGAATTCCAAGTCAAGCATCCATTTAGAATGTATGTGATTGGTTAAACATTGTGCTTGCCGATCAACGATATTCATGCACTACTTTGTAACGATAACAATATTTCCACAAAACAATGAAATAAAAAATATTACTTGTTGTTAATGTTAATACTATATTGACATATTGCATTGCACATACTTCTGTTGGCAGGAAGTAACTGAAATAAGCCAAGTTTTTCAATCAGCTAAAAACTTACAACTTTATTTTGAATCTGTGGCTATAGACTGATTCGATGGTTTTTTCTTTTAAATTCTTTTTTTTATTGCAATGATGCTATATAACTGAAAGCCATCTTGAATGGTGAAACTCCTTCGTTATTTCAGCTGAATAATCAGATGAGAGTGTGGACTTTTTTACTCCATATTTTCGGAACATGGGAACTTGAATTAAATGCTTTGTTCTGTTCTCTTAACTTCTATACTATCAAGTATCTACATGTCAACATCAAGGCCATTTCGATTATCAAAGCCAACCCTTTTTAATTCTTTATTTTCTTGTAGTTTTAAGACTAAGCTTTTATTGGTCCAGCTTATGCCAGCTTCTTCATCAATTTGATTCATTATTGGTTTACATGTCACATGATTGCCACAATAGTTGTTCTCCATCTCTAAAATGATAGGAGGCTCACCTTATAGAAAGCCAAGCCCTGGCAATCTGCTTTGCAAACTGGTTATTCTTTCCCGATTAGGAAATTGTTTTACCTATTCAATAATTCATATATATAATTTCTCTTGTGCCTTACTTTAACTATTTTTATTTTTTTTATACGTTAAATTTAGGCAAGCATAGAAAAAGACTTTATTAAAGTAAGTAAAATTTACATTAAAGATGTTAAAAATAATAATAATAATCTGTCTATGGAGTTGTATTTTTATTTTTTAATACCAAACAAATTCGAATATGCTTTTCGGTTTTCTTGCATTCCAACCACAATAGCGAAGGGGTGACATTTTTGATAAATTGGCCATCAAAAGCAATACAAATTATGCTTTGCTAACATTTCACTTGAGAAAAAAAAAACCAATACCATCAAGAATTTGTATGCATATATAATTATAATATCATATTAAAATCTGTCTAGAAAATGTGAAAACGTTGGGATTGGATACGGCTTTCTTGCATTGCATTCATAGTAAGAGACTTATATTTATATTATGACTTTGTTCACACAATCACCTTAGTTCGTTCCTCGGTTGCTCAACAAAACATGACGTAAGTACATGCATTAGGTTATTGGAACTAAGTTTGGAATTCCAATTGACGCAAACTTGCGAATAGCACGCCCCAATTCATGGAAAGACAAAAAATAAGAGAATGTAATCGCAAGGAATTCGTCCGAAATCTTAAACAAATGCAATATGCATCATGCATCTGATAACTTGAGCATGAATCCAGGGACGGATCATTAGCTCAAGGTGAACATATTCGTCACCCAATCATCAAACAAGGAAGGGTTATTTATATATATATACTCATTCATGTCTTTCAACATTGAACATATGAATGTCCTAAACCCTGCATTGAGAATTGTTGAATATCAAAACATTACCGACTTTTCACTTGCCCAAAACCTCACCACATCATTCGTCCCTTCTGTGGTTTTACATTCTCAAGATTCGCCGCTGGTTACATCAATCAAGATTGTAAAACACTTTGTCTCAAATGCATATAAATTTAAGTTTTAATATAACTTTTGACTATATTTTGTATCTTTAAAAGAAGTGTTTGCTTAAATTATTCCATGCGATAAATAACTTCATTTTAAGCGAACTACTGAAGTTTGAGCATTAGGTTGAAAATTGTATCAATTTTTTATTTAACTTTTCATAGATAAAATTTCTTTAATCAACTTAATATAGAGTTATTTACTCTGTGAGGTAACTTGTAAAAGTCCTTTTGAGTTTTGAACTTTTTTGCATTGCCAACTGGAACCACTGCAATGCTATTCACGTTTGTATTTTGTTACTTTTTTGGGTCAACCACGTCCTGAATCTCTTGACGGATCGTGCAACGTTCCATTTAAATAATCCGCTTGTCCCAAGTGAAAGGTGCAAATTTCATGGCCCAAAATAAAATTGCAGTATATTAAGCATAGACTTCAATGCAATGTTTGGTTTATATTTAGGAAGCCCAAAACTCATTTTCAAAAAGCCTAAAAAATTCCTCTATAACAGAATTTTTAGAATAAGGTTTTCGATTCCTTAAGCCCGTTTAAAGCAGAATGGAGTTATATAATTTGCACATTTGATATATATATATATATATATATACATGACTTGTTAGCGCACTTTAACACATTGATACCCTTGATTTTAATAAATGTGTAACTCAAATTCATGGACATCAATTAGTGTGGAAAAGGGTGATTGCTAGAAATATTCACAAGGAATATATATAATTATAAAAATGAACTCGTTATAGAAGGTGAAATTATTGTTACAAATTACTCCATTTGTTTTTAAGTAATTTTTGTATTTCATTAATTGTTGTATAATAATAATTCTTAATAATAGCAGTTAAAAATTTTTAATGTATAGTCCTAGTACGAGCTCAATTAATAAAAAAAACTTTTGATATTTTATTTTATTAATATTCTTTAATTATTTTATATATTCATGTGTTTTGTTTATTGGAGAAAATAACGTCTTTTTTCTTACATGCTTTGGTATACTTAAATTTTTTTTCTATAAAATAAGGAAACAATAGAAAGTTAGAAATAAAAATAAAGAAATTAATTATATTTTTTAATTTATGTAAAAAAAAAACTTTATATGACCATAATATAATATGAGACGAGGGGAGTATTTTGGATCACATTATGATCAGTAAATTTAGTATGATCAATAAATTTTGTGTACGATGGTATAGTTTTATATAAATGAACCTAACCGGATAGAGACTCACAGCGTAAATATAAATAAACTAATAAAGTAAAAAAAATATTTTTTTTACGAACCCGTTACAGACTTCAAGGCAGACTGATAGTAATGGGGATTATTTAAATTAAAGGGAAAATTTTAAATCTTTTTTACAATATCATCCCAATAATGTGTTTATTACTAAAAACAAATATTAAATATTCTTTGTGCTTTTTGGATATTAAATATACATTTTAGTTAACATTTTCATTATAGAATATAAAAAATTACTAAAAGTATATTACAAAAGGATACAAAAGATGTTTTTATTAAAAAAAATATCATCAATAATAGTAAGATATATTTCATTACAGTAAAATTATTTTCTATATGAATAATATGTCCACAAATACACCCCGCAATAGTAGTCAAATGGAAGAAGAAAAAGGAAAGACCCAGTTTGGTCCTTGCAATAACAGGGTAGGTATCGGTAAGAAGCAGAAGAATTGTGTCATCTGCACATCGTGGTGCGAAGCTCATTCTTATTACAAATCTTACAATTACATTAAGAAAAGTGTATACTTAATGTCCTGTATCAATAAAAATACAGCCAAAAAGAATGGTAAACAAAGTCGAAAGGAATTCGGATAGAGAACAGTGCATTTCCTTAATCTCTCCTCCAAGAATTGCATTCAACCCTATTACTTTATTGACTGTGATTGAAGAATCAATCAATCTTTGTCCTCTCTTCGAAGCCATAACATATCAACAACTTGCGGTTTGAATTAATTGATGGTTCCTTAGAACCAAAAACACCATGAAGTTTAAAGGTAAAACTTCATGTGTCCCTGCCATACTAATATCTATCTATATATATATCATACACTTCATGCGGAGGTTGAGGTTACATAGCAAGTAATCTATTAAGATTTTGCAAGGAATCAAATGGAATGAACCTTGAGTGATTGGAAAGTAGATAGAGTAGATGTCACCCCAAAAATTCAGGACTTGATAATTCCAAGTGTCTGTGCTTGAAGTGATAGAGAGTGCTTAACATCACCAATGTGAAGACTGTGTACACCCATTGGAATTCTCCTAGTTCCTGACCTATCAACCACACTGAGGAGCTTGCAAACATGAATATTCAGTCTCACACGCTGCTGAGCCTTGGCAGCAACATGGACTTTCTCGAAGGCCACTAATTGCTTGTGTGGGGCCCAATGGCCATTGCCTGATGGCGGTGCTGAGAACACTAACAACGTGTGAGTGCCATCTTTGGATCCAACATTCTTAACGTCGACGTCAAGGCTGATGGAAAGCTTTCCACATCGTGCATGCGTCACTTTAATTGCTTTGTTTGCAATGTTGGAGCTATTGCCGTGGCGGTGACCATCCACGGGAACCGAAACTACCTTGGGTGCACTTGCTAATGTGTGAACAAAGTGGGTGTATGACAATCCGTAACCAAATGGATACACCACTGCCCCATTGTAAAATCTATAGGTTCTTCCAGGATACCCTTTGGATCTGCTTGCTCGCATTGCCATATTTGTCATTGGCAAGTTTTCAAGGTACCCTTGTGGGTACCATGTCATAGGTAGTTTGCCTCCTGAAATTCAAACATAACATTATGTTCTCTTTTTTATATGTTCTAGGTTGTAATGTAAATTTACTTTTTGGTATTTTTAACGTGTGTCCAATAAGAAATTTATTATCTCAAAATCATAATAAGTATTCAGTTTATATTTTTATGATGATTTAAAGCATTTAATAAGATGTATTATGTTAGAAAAACCGTTTTTATTACGTGGGCATTTTCGTATAGCATATTTGGGCCTACGATGGGCCATTAAAAGACATACCAGGGTTAGCAGTTCCAAACAGGATGTCTGCGATGGCAGCGCCACCAGCTTGGCCCGGATAACCAGCCCACAAGATGCCTTTGATTCGAGCATCATTTTTGGCGAAAGTTATATCCACAGGCCCACCAGACATTATTACCAAAATGATTGGACCCTTCGAGGCAGCTGCTACTTTTGACACAAGGTCTTGTTGACGCCCAGGAAGAAGCAGGCCAGTTCTGTCCACGGTTTCAGCCTCAATGGACTGGTCTAGGCCCATTACTAGAACCGTTGCATCTGCTTCTTGGGCTGCATTTATAGCCCTCGAGAATTGCTTGTCATCAGTACAAGCTACATTTGAACAGCCCAATTCGTGAATAGTCTTGGCGTATCTCCCTATTCCTTTTAATGGGCTTGTGTATCCACAAGCAATACCTGAAAAAAAGGTAAAAGTAAAGAGTGAGTTCCTTAATGGGCCTAATTTAGTTTAAAATTTTTAAGGGAATCAAAGCATACCAGCATAGTTGCCGATCATTGTGACGGTGACATTAGAATTGGGCCCAATAACAGCCACCGTCCGGTGACGTTGCGTGGAGAGAGGCAAAGAAAGGCCAGTGTTCTTAAGAAGCACAATCCCTTGTCTTGCGGCTTCAAGGGCGAGCTCTTGGTGGGCTGGGCTGCACACATCCCTTGGGCCAAGGTTGCCATATGGCTGGGCCGAAAGCTCCCCATCAAACATCCCTAACCTCATTTGGACCGTTAGTGTGTTGGATAATGCCCCATTTACATCAGCTTCACTTACCAAACCCTTTTTAACGGCATTTTGTGTATGCAATGCTAGAAAAGGCCCACAATCCAAATCCAAACCTGTAATATGTGAAATGTCAAGCCATTTCGTCTTCCCATTTATCATTGGGCTCCACAGTTAAAGCCCAAAAAGTGAACCTCATTAGTTGAACTTGGTTAAAAGTAACGTTAGCAACACGTTCTCCTAAAGATATTTTCTATTAGCAGTCCAATTTTTTAAAAGATTAAGATACCCATTTCATAAATTAATTACATTTTAAAAATTATCTTAACTTTTCTAAAAACTGATCAATTACAAAAGTTGTATTAACAAGTGCATATAAAAGAGTTAAAGTTCTTCTATGGTATAATAACTAGCCTGCTCTAATGGCATCGGCAGCAGCTTCTTCTGGCGTAGATGTGTAGTGTTGGCTAGAGTAAAACACCCCAACAGAGTCACAGTCTGATACAATGTAGCTGAATCATTGGAAAACAAACGATAATATTTATTAGTTTGGGATAATTTGTTTTGAAGATGAAGACCACCCAAAGAGTATTTGGCAATTGGCATTGTTTGTAAGCTTACCCATCTAGACCCCATTGGCCACGAACTGTTCGTTTTAGGAGGTTGGGGTCGGCACAGGTGGGGACACCATTAACCTGATTGTAAGAACACATCACACTCGCCACTTTCCCTTCCTTCACACACATCCTGAATGGCACGTTGAATGTGTCCTCAATGTCTTGCTTGCTAACCTGCCCATCAAGTTCATAGCAAGCTGCTACTCAAAATAATATTACATACATGTCCTCTTCTTCTCATCCTTGTTTCGATAAGGCTTGTCAAAAGTTTTAAACAAAACAACAAAAGTCATCCATGCCCCGACAACATCATCAATCATAAACATTATTGCGCACAAAACAATTCAAACGTACCTATCGTATTGTTATTTTAATAGAAACTATCATTCATTTGTTACACTTTTTCCTTAGCGTGTTCTTTAGATTTTCAAGGTTACACACTGAACCTTTAAGTTCTGACATTCTACATACAGAAATTGATGCAGCTAGAATTGAACTGAAAAATTGAACACAATAATTTAACATGTAACCCGAGTGATTCCCTATTTATTTAAATGAATACAATAATATTGTATTTTTGCCGGTGACAATTTATACCATAATCATATATACCTGATTGCTAATGTCTTACCGAAATTGGGAAGAGTATTTGCAAAGTCACTAAAGAATTAAAAATTAAAAAGGAATACATTCAGTGACCCACGTATCGTACGAATCACATCATCTTGTATTATTTGAAAGTGCTGAAGTGGGAAATTTGGCGCACACAAAGTGACCAAACTACTTCAGCAGTGGATAATATGAACATGAGTGGTGCACTAAGAAGAAGATTCCCATACCCTAATCAAAATTTTCACATACCATTAAATGAGGCGTACCTGTGCATTAAAGTGAAAGCGATCCATACCGTTCCAATTATCAAGGTCATAAGCTGTAAAGTGTTTGCAAGAAGCAGCCACCTTCAACCGGTTACCGTCTGTTCCCTGTAGTCCCCTAACATAACTGGCTGCATATCTACCGGCTAGCACGGGGTCTTCACCGGGAGTCTCCTGTCCACGGCCCCACCGTGGGTCCCTAAAGATGTTAACATTTGGGCTCCAATACGTAAGCCCAGCCGTTCCTCCATTGTACATTGCCCTTGCTTCGTCCGAGGCAACCTGCGTAGTGCCGGCGTCAGTTTCATCTTTTCTTTATAATATGAACGAGTGTTTCGAACAACTTTTCTTTTTGAAAAAAATTTAACGATTATTTTTTGCATTTGTATACGTCAAACATGTTCTTAAAAGGGTTCGTGGAGATTATCTCAGCCACTCAAACCAAATGGCTTACAAACTTGCTGAACGGTCACTGCCACTTGCATGATTATCAAGTTGTTAGGGGACAAACTTGAGTAAAATGGTAGCTGGCATGCCACAGTCACAATGATATCCAACTTGAGAAGTGAACCAATATCACCAAGCTTAACTGTTTTTTCTTTTTCAAAAAATGGCGAACTAATCATGGATTTGATTTAAAGCTACCCTTTTTATGGGGTACGAGTTCGTCTAATTTAATTTATTGCTCAGATAGAAAAGTATTAGAGCTAATTTTAAGTTATTAAAATATATGTTTGTGATAAATATTATAGTTTTTTTTTTTTATAAAAATGATTACTTTTAGATTCGTAAAATTAGTTTGGAAAATTAAGATTGACAAAACCATTATAAAATGATATGTTGTGGGAAGGAAATGATAAATGTTTATAATAACTTAAAAAGTAAATTTTTTTTCTAAACAAGTATATTCTCATAAAAAAAATGCTACCAATTTACTTATGAAAAAAAGTTAGTAATTTTTTAAAAATCTATATCAAAATAAATTAATTTTAGTGGTAATATAGGTCGCTTTCTGTTCAGAAATTTCATTCAAATTCAGTATTGCTGCAAGGAAACAGCCTTAAAAGGAGATGTCTTAGGCAAAGAAAGCGAGTCCGTTCTCGACGTTGAGCATAAAAGTCAAGCTAGAGAATTAAATCAATGTCTGACAAAACTTTGCATGCATACTGTACATAGAGTGATAATGCTACTGGTGTTACTATTAAGTATTTTCCTTGTATCATATTATTTATCTTTTATACTATGAATGATTGAGAAGAGAATTATGATTAATGTAGGAGAGAAGTATAGGAAAAAGAAAAGGAAGAAAAAATTTGGAGAAAAATGAATCAATATTAGCATGATAGAAAAAAAGGGATAATAATTATTTTCTTTCTTTCTTTGATTGTAATTATAGTAAAATAAATTAGAAACTATTTTAGTAAACAATTATACTCTTAAAAAAAGGGAGTTATATTATATTAGTGAAAAAAAGATCGGTAAACGATATTAATAGAAAATAGAAAAGGGTAAGAGGTTTCCAGTTACTTTGGCTAATGAGATAAGATTTAAAAAGAAAGTTGTCTTGGGTGTACATTCTTTCTTTCTTTTTTTATTTTTTATTTTTGGTAAACCAATCACTGGATTTTTTTTTTCAATTTCTTTCCTCCACGTACATTTTTTACATCACCCAAACATAATGCAGATATTTTAATAAAAATTAATTGCACAAATTAATATAATAAAATATTTTTAATAAAAATAAAATTATCAATTAATTAAATATTTAAATAAGATGTTAAAAAATAATTTTTTTCTTTTACTTTGGCTAATGTGATAATATTTTTAACCAAACAAAAAAACAACAAAATCTCAGCAGATAACAGAACAAAGCAAAACTGGAGTGACAATAATATATTATGCATATTAAATTTACTTTAAACCAGTTTTAATAGATTTTATAACATTATTAATTGCTAACAAAAAATATAATTGCTAAGAGCTTATAGTTTTTATTGAATATTGTAGGTAAAAGAAATCCTCACCCGTCCAATTGCTTCCCACAAAGACGCGTTAAAAGAAGAAGCGGTAGTGATGACTTGAGGGAAGCTAGTGGCGGCAGGGAATTGGCCACCGAACTTGGTTCCAGGACCCACATTTGAAACCCCATGAAGTGCCTCAGACCACCATTCATACCCTTTTATTCCAAGCCTTGGAACTGCTCCTGCATTGTTCACTAGCAAGTTAACCTTTTCTTCTAGTGTCAACCTTCCAATTAGATCCTTCACCCTTGCTCCTATTGGCAGCGAAGCCTTGCAAAATGCCAAGTTCTTTGTGGCGGGGTCTTTTGGGTCACATGCAAAGGGGTCACGTGCCTCACCACCCAAAATGAGAAGGAAGAGGAAGATTGTGATGAGGGGTGAGAAGATGGAAGCCATTTGGGAAAGGAGAAAAAATTGTGTAAGTGTAGCCGTAGGCGTTGGTGGTTTGAGAAGTTTTGGGATGAAGAGAACAATATATATAGGTGAGGGGACATATCCAATGCCATGTTGCAATGGATTGAGCTAACTATTAGCTGGCCCTTGGGTGATTGGATTTTCCATTATGTCTCTTTTTAAAAAAGTTTTTAGCAAAATGAAGCAACTTGGCTGGTGAGATTTCAATACAAGTTGGTGACTAACAAAAAAAATAAAAAAAAAGACCCAATTTATCAAATTAGCAAGTGTGGGAATCCACCTGCCGTATGCCGTTTTTGAACCCTAAGTATATATTATTACTTTCTTATTCATCACGAAAGTGAATTTAACAAATTTACAACCATGGGGTATGTTTCTAATGTTTGTTTTACACAGTTTTAGTTAATGCTAATTTTGACGACATTTTACTACAATAATCGATTCACACGTAATGTGCTCAATTTTCACGTAAGATTGGAAATAATATAAAAGATAATAAATATTGATAGTTTTAGGGAGGATTGGCGATCACTGGTCCAACATTTGGATGGGCATTGGATATCCTATTCCTGGTGTGTGGTTGGCCCTCGTTAGACATTAATAATTAGGACGTATTGTTAGATAGAGTACGTGCAATTGACTTTCTTTATTTTGATGGAAGCATTTTCAAATGTTTATCTGTCAAGCATAACTTATCTTGGCCAATTAAATGATTAGGTGGTCCAAAATTTCTTGTTATATCTGGTTTATTAGAAGCTAAAGAAGCTTTCGCCGGAATAAAGAAACATCATTTATCAACTAATGCATGAGGCAACTCATGACAATTGGTAGGCGTTCTTAATGTTAATTCTTTTCCCCTTTAGTAAATATCTATAATACAAAGAAAGTATTTGATTTTCTTGGTGTAGTACCAATCCATATATCAAATGTACCAATTTTCAAAATAAGTGGGATGACTTGGATTGGAATTTACTAATTTTGTTATATAATATGTAAATTTACTATAATTAATTGTTGCCGATATTGGTAGTTTGCTACGATATTTAATCATGAATGCATAAGTTGGTCAGTGGTTTTTACTCTTAGTTGAGCTGTTAATTTTATAGAATGGACTAAAACTGAACTAGCTTGAGTATATCACACACATTATTCAAAGGGAGTTGATTGAAAAATCAGAGACATCAAAACAAAGTGGAATCAGGTTGATCCAACGGAAAATAGAGATCAATAAAGCAGAGGTTAAAATTCAATAAAATATTGACCCTTCTCCAATTTGAATTTAATATTTACAGAAGTGCTTGTTGGTTGAGAATAGCTTCGCTTACAAGTGAGGTTCGGATCTTGGACAGAGCTTATGGCTCTGAACATATAACTTATTTCAAAACAATAGCCAGCCATTGTGGTGGATATCTCTTATCAATATAATTGCATAACCGAAAGATAAGAAAAACCGAAAAAGAAGAGAGGAAAGCATTACTTTGCAACTACAACTAGGTGGAGAACATTACATATTTTACACGCTATGAATTGAAAAAACATAACTTTTTTCTTTTTTCTTGGGGGGTGATGTTTTTTCAAATCTAAGGAAGGGAAATAATGTGGAAAAAAAACGGGGTGCAGTATTAGTATCAAAGTTCAAAGGAAAACAATGGCCTTATTTTTACATATTTGGATATGGATAATTGTAGCATCTGCACGTGGATGGACACAGGACAAAGTATCCACTTGAGTTTGTGATCAGTTTTAGTGTTGAAAGAGCATTAATGAAGACACCCATAATGTGTTCATTTTGTTCTTATCTTTGCTCCAAATCTAGCATATGACCTCACCTCTTTTCCTCGTTTTGGCTTATTAAGACTCAATACATGGAGGCAGAATTGAAAAAAATAATGTTTTTACTATATGGTATGTGAGGTATAAAATGCCTTTATCTAGTTAAATTGCTGACAGAATTAAGATTCGTATAAAAAATATTAGAACTTACTCCAATTACATTTTGTAGTATTGGATTCTTATTGTACAGGGATCTTCTCTGTTAAATAGCAATTAAATTACACAGTAACTTGCCTATACTATTTAATCGGGCTAGTTGTAGACAGGGGTGTTTATAGAACAGTCTAAGATTGATTTGTCTTATGTTTTATCCGATTCAATGTTTTAGTACAATTAGAATTTAACATGGTCAAAATTTGATAATGTATTAGATAAAATTAACTCGATATAATATCTTCATTTTAATATTTTATATTACTAGATTATAAAATAAAAAATTAAAACTAAAATTAACATGTATTTTATAATATAATTGGTAAAACAAATTATATAATATAAATATAATATTTTACTATCAAATTACTACGTCCTATTATTATAATAAATAATTATCGGACCTTAATTCAGATGATTCAAGTATAATTAAAATTTATTTTCAAAATAAATAAGTTTAAATTTTAAATATTTTTAAATTAACTCCAGGCCAAGATGAATTAATGGAAGTAGTGGAGTCTTAAACAACCCTAATTACAATTTAGACGTGAATTCAAAATGAAAATGAAAGCAAAAAAATTAAATAAATGAAAGACAAAAAAAGAACAAAAAAATACAAAAAGAGAATCCCTGGGAAAGTGGGAATTGAATACAGTACTGTTGTCAGGCGCCGACTCGAATAGCTTTATAGTGTTCGTACCAATTTATTATAACAGTATTCATTCCTTCTTAAATGTTTTGCCAAAAAATTGTATATTATACATTTTGTGGTTTGGATATCAATAGATTCCAAATTATGTTTTATATATGTTATTGTAGTTTTCTGTTTTAAATTTTATTTATTAAACTTCTTTATATTTCTTTTATCACTTTATTTCTAATCAAAGTAGTTTATTGAAAAAAATAAATAAATAGTGAGTACAAACATTGTTTATCTGGCAAGCTAAAATAAAAACAAAAGGTCAGCTAACAGAAACAAAAAGCTAAATGCTTAATTAATGATTGGGTAGATCAACCTCTTTAGCATAAGCTTCAATGATTCATATTCATTTGGTTAAGTTCGTATAGCTTTAAGCAACATAGAAATACATACAAAAGTCCGTAGCATTGACTTTTGGATCTGTTAGTTGTTACTAGTGGCCTACAAAGTGTACCTAAAATGAAAATCCACCTCAAGAATTTCATCATAAAGGCAAAATCACACACATATGATTTAAGACAACGCTTGCAATTGAAATTTACATTATACTTGAGCGCTACGTTTAAATGTATAACATTTCATACATTAGTTGTCATGCGCTTAACTGTAATTTTTTTTCGTTTTCAAAGATTTTTCTATGCCTACGCAAGCCAAGTAACCAAACAGGGTAATTGAGGGCACAAGATCTTTGTTAGGACCTTTGAACCAGTTTGAGGATGTTGCCATTAACAACCTTTGAAACGCCGTGCCAAGTTGGTAACACAGTTGCAAGATTAGCTTGACATTTAAAATACCATTCAGATTATATTTTAATATGATGCTTGTTTGATACTATGATTTAATCATATATAACATAAAATTGTACACTATATAAACTATTTTATCTCGTTTCCTCGAGTTAAGTTTATATATCAAAATGTCAAGCTAATCTTGCAGTAAATTAAACTCGTTCTATAAATATCCTTTAGTCATTATGTAGAGTAATGCAATATAATTATACATATATATGAATCTTGTGGTGAGAATATGACAAAAAGACATTAATATCAAATTCTAATTTATAATGTTATAGACGAGGTTCATAATGCTTAAGGTTGTAGATGACAAGTTGAATTATATGCTTTAGCCAATGCTAAGTATTAATTAACAAAGGTTAAAGCCCTCGAAGAGATCTAAGTTCAATTTTGGTTTAAGATATTTTAAGAGTGATATCAGATATATAGATAAGGCAATCAAGAGTGTCTTTAGATTGCCATCATATTAAACACCGCGAAATTTAATTATGTCAAGCTTCTAATAACTATAATGTCTCTTAATTATTTTAAAATTCAAAACACACTTTAAGAGCATTTCCTATTCCAAAGTAATAAGTCAATACTGGAAATAGATTTTTTAATTCATAAGAAACTTTCTTACTATATCACACATCATTTGCCTGAACTAAACTAAAAGATAGTTATCATAACTTTATTTATACGTTAAAATTGGTTTAATGTTGGTATAACCAGGTCCCAATTAACAAGCAAGCGGACAATAAATACACTATTCCCTTCACTCTTTTTTATTGTATTCTTTCGGTGTTATTATTATTAGGGACAAAAGTATCAAAGCTTCCGCATTTTAATGCATTTTGCTGACGAGGTCCAAGGTTTCTTAATTAATTGCATTTTCTATTCCAAAACCTACTAAGAATCTCTTATTGGTTAGAGACTAGAGTTTTGCCTCCATAAAAAGAGAAAAACCTTTTGTCAAACTTAACATATTTTGTTTATTTTTAGGTCTCAAACAACAATCCAATTGGTATTTAAAATATTTTTTTATATTCACTAAAAGACAAAAAGATCTTAAACGTTAAAATTGTCTTTATTAATATAACTTTTATCTAACATGTTAAATTATTAGTGTGATGATTATGTATTTACATTAATAATGGTGTGACAAATTATACTAGTATTTGATGTGCTAATAATATATATCAAATTTTTATACTAGTTAGTACCTTTAATTTTATTAAACAAGAATTATTCCCACAAAAATTAATACGAAGCCACACTGTTAATATATGACAATTTTTCTGTCCCCTTTTTTTCAATTATTTCTTATTGTTTGTTTTCTTTGTTTGGCATTATTATTATTGAGAACAAGTTTCCGTGCCTTTTGATTTTTATTATATATTCTGCGACAGGTACAGTAAAGTTTAACTTCATCTCAATTAATTATTCATTAAATTTTGGAGACTATTAATCAATATTCTGATAACATTGACTCGAAATATTTAATAGCAATTTTTTATATA